CCTGGGCTCCGCACCCGAAGGCGCGGGGCTGGCGAAGGGGCTGCCCTGGCATCAGCTCTGGCGCCCGGCACGGTCAGCGAGCGGCAGGGGAGGGAGAGTCAGCAGGGCGGGAGGAAGTGTGGCGCTCGCTGATAAGTGGGGAGCCTGGCTCCCCAATCCGCACAGCCAGGCGGACAACCTCAGGGTGGGGCTTGCGCTCAGCGGCACCGCGGCGACTTCGCGTGGGGACCCACGGCGCGGTGTGAGCAACCTCTGGGGACGGTGTCTAGAGTCCCAAGACTCGGGTTGGAGACCCCAAAACGGGAATCGCCTCGGGAAGCTGGGCGCTCCCACCAGGCGCAAGGGGAGCGGAGGCACCAGGGCCCCGACTCAGAATGACAGAATGACGCGGCGCTGGGGTGCAGCCCCGTGGCGGGGCACCTGGGCCGTTGTGGCTGGCTCCAAGCACATGGGCCAGCCTCCCCGAGCCGCCCTCTGTGGGCCCAGAATTCAGACTTCCTGGCAGCCAAGGCCCATACCAGCCCCCAGCTCTCCCTCCCCATACCCTCTCCATGCAGGCCAGTAAGAGTCTCGCAGTAGGTGGAGCGGTGGCACCGACTTGCGACCTCTGCACGGGGAGGCTGAGGCAGGAGTATTCTGAGTCTAAGGTTGCTACACAGCGAGCCCGTCTCAGAAAATGAAACTAAACCAAGCAGTGCCGCAGGGTGCCAGTGGCAGGTCCCACTCCGCTCCCACTCAGGCTGGGCCCCACGCTCACCAGTGCAGCCGCAGGGCATGCAGGAAGGCTGACAGCCCCTCCATAATCAGCAGGATGGCCACGGTGAGTGTGGCGAAGGCGGCAAAGATGAAGAAGAGCACCAGGCCGCCCGCGAGGCTCTTCACGCTCAGGCCGATGTGGATGACCATCGTCCACAGCACCTCGGAGAGCTCTGGGGGGACAGTGTCTGGTCAGTGGACACCGGCCCGGCCCAGCCCTGCACCACCTGGCCGCCGTCCCTCCTCCCTGCCAGACACTCACGTGCATGGGCCAGACTGAGCGCCCAGAGCCGCAGGTAGGAGGCAGTGTTGGAGATGCAGCCCAGGCAGTACTCGATGGTGTGGATGGCCTGGTGGACCATGGTGTCCCCGAAGTCAAACTGTCGTGGGGGAAGCCAGAGAGAGGCCATCAGGCCAGGAGGGGGCTGAGCAGGAGCCCAGACCAGCCGAGCAGGGCTGGAGCACTGTGCTGCGTCCCCAGCCCTGCTTTGGGTGTTTTGTTCTTTGTTTTTTTGAGACAGGATCTCACTATGTAGTTGAGACTGACCTGGAACTCACTATGTAGCCCAGGCTGGTCTCCACCTCACAGTGGTCCTCCTGCCTCAGCCTCCTGAGTGCTGGGATTACAGGCATGTGCCACCATGCTTGGCATTTTGGTTTTTGAGACAGGGTCTTGCTGAGTCACTAAGATGCCCAGGCTGTGCTTGAACTTATGAGACTCCTGTCAGCCTCCCAGAGGGCTGGGATGACAGGCGTACACCCCCACGGCTGGCTCATGCCCCAGGACACCTGTGAGGCTGCCTCAGAAGGGCCGCGCTCCCAGCCGGCTGGTCCCGGGTCCTGTGAGACCCCTGCCTTCGGGGTCATGGTGGTCTCCCTCCCTCTGACTGAGGGATCTCGGTGACTATCCTGAGTCCTGCCTTCCCCACCCTGCGCTCTCCGGAGGGCTGGATGAGCTCTCGGGTACACTTCGGGGCCTGCTTGGGCACATGGAGGGGTGTGGTTGGAGTCCAGAAGGTTCCAGCAGCCCGGGCCCTGCGCCAATCACACCAGCAGGCGCCCCCGAGCCCACAGGCTGGCCGGTCCTCCGCTCACTCCTGGCTCAGCAGCTGCCCCGTTCCCAGGTCAGGCTCTGGCGGGTGGAGCCACAGGCCATGGCCAGAGGGGCTCGCTGTCCCTCACCATGGCGGCACCTGTGCACATCCGGCTTCTCCTGAGCAGCTCCCTCAGGCCGCCTCCTCCCCGAAGCCCCGGCCCCGGCCCCGCCCGCGTCTCCTCCCCACTTCTGCTCTCTGCTGTGCAGCCCTGGGCTCAGGCTTCCCCAGGGGAGACAGTCACGGCTCTGCATCACTCTGCATCTCCAGCCTTCTCTGCCTCAGTTTCCCCGCAGGCCATCTGCTTTGCCCTCAGTCTATTTCCTAGCCGGTCACGAGGGCCGCGCCCCTGCCCCTCCGGTCCTCCTGCAGCTCCATCCCAGCAGCCCCTCAGATGCAGCCCCAGGGGCTCCACACCAGCTGTGCTCTTCTGCCCTCAGCCCCAGCTGTCTGCCTCGCCCTTGCCCAAGTCCTGGGAACCCGGCCCCGTGTCCCTTCCCGCCCTCCTGTCCCTACGCCCTGACACCCTGCCTCGGGGAGGCATCTCAGCGTGGCACTGCCCCCCGCCCGACTCGGACGCTCCCGGGCCTGCTCATCGCAGCACGAGCGGACAAGCACACCCCGTGGGCAGGTGGGGGACATGCATGGCCCTGGCTGCCGGGATGCTGTCTTCAGGGGTCCCCGCTGGCTGCCCAGCTGGATAGCGGAACAGGAAGGGAGGACGACAGCCAGCTGTAGGAGCTGGACAGGGCTGCGCTGCTGGAGATGACCGGGAGCCCACACCGTCACCAGGCTGAGAAGGTGGAACCGGCCCAGGCCGGGGAGGCGGAGAGGTCCGTCCCACACGGCCCAGCCCCAGCAGGGCTTCGACCCTGGCAACGGTGGCCAAGGCACTGGGCACAGGGCACCAGACACCAGGATGCCAGCGAGGCCCTTTCCAGCCTCAGGGGGACCCAGCGCTCTGTCTCCATCAGAACAGCAGAGGTGGCCATGGCTCAGGGCCAGGGGCAGGTGTGTCAGAGAGATCCTGGAGGAAGGTGCAGACCGTGCAGGGAGGCCCTGCACACCCAGCTCGAATCTTCCTTCCTGCGGACCCCGGCCGGCTGGCCTTCCTCCCCTGAACGCTGCCTCCCTCACATGGACCGGAGGTGGAGGCCAGGCCGGAGCCCGCAGAGTGCGGGCAGACTGGGAGCTGTCAGAGTGGCAAACCCGTGACGCAGAGGCAGAGGCAGAGGCAGAGAGGAGCAGGACAGAGCACAGGCGCAGGCGGGGATGCAGTGAGATGTGGCCTGCAGGGGCCGGAGGGGGGTCACAGTGCGCAGACAGGAGAGGAGGGGCCCGAGAGTGACAGTCTTACCGCTTCATCCTCGGAAGGCTTGAAAACACAAATTCACACTTAGTGGGAGGCTCACAGTTAAGACACCCTGGCCACACCTGCTCCTGGGGCCTCGGCAACAGGGAGGGGTGGCGCTGAGGCTCCTGTTTCCCACAGGCGCCCCATGGTTGCCATTAAAAACCACTCCAGGGCCGGAGATGTAGCTCAGCCGTGCCGCTGCCTGCCTCACAAGTGCAGGGTCACGAGTTCGAACCCCGGTATCAAGGGGAAAAAACCATCCCACACACAATGAGCAGTGATCAGAGTCCGGCCGGGTGCTCCGCTGCTGGCCTCTGCCAGACAGAGCCCGGGAGGGCCCTGCGGGAGGCCGGCATAACACACTCCTTCCCAGTGCGCACAGGCTGAACCCAGAGCCCGCGCACACGCCCGGCTGCCACCCTTCTTAGATCTTAGACAGTGGGCGAGGGGGAGAAGCCACCCGCAGGGCCCGAGTTTCTGGCAGCTGTGCCTGGGTGGAGCCGAAGTGAGTGCTGCAGAGTTGAGGACGCAGCGAGCCCCAGGAGAGCAGCAGGGGAGCCCGGCCCGGCTTACCTCTTCCGCATCCTCCGAGTGGGTGGAGAGCTGGTCGTGCTGAATAATCTCAGCATCCTCCTCTGTCGGTCCGTTGCCCACCCTGATCCCACCAAAGCTGAGAGTTCCCTACATGGGCGAACAGAAAGAGTGGAATTTGCCTGGGCTTTCGGCGAGCTGGGTTCTTTAGGCGGGAACGGCGTGGTTGGCCACATGCAAGGGGCCCACTGATGCCACACAAAACAGCGCTGCTGCACCCGCACCTAACGGCCACGGGGTGTGGCCCCGGCTGCATCAGGATCGCCCCAGCGCACTGGGCTCGCCTGGCAGTGCTGACGGAGACCCCCGCCTCAACCCGCAGGGCTGGGCTTCCCACAGGGCTGAGGCTTCTTTCCCAGGGGACGGAAACAAGCTTGGTGCCCACACAACTCTGGCCACAGAGAACCGAGTTAAAAAACGGGAAAGAGATAAAGGGGCCTCTCTCCTCTGCACTTGGGGTGCTGCCTCCCACGGCTGTCTCCCCAGGAGTCTGCAGCGAGCTCCACGGCAGGGGCTTTTGCTTGTTGTGTGGGGGTTTTTTGGCACTTGGGACTGAACCCAGGGCCTTTATTAAGTCACTAAATCACCCAAACTGGGCTTGAAATTGTGATGCTCCTGTCTCAGTCTCCCAGAGTGTGGGATTATAGGTGCACACCACCACGTCCAGCTCCATATGCAGGTTTTTTTGAGACAGGGTCTCAGTATCCAGTTCAGACTGCTCTGGAACTCACTGCGTAGCCCAGGCTGATCTCAAACTCACAGCGATCCTTCTGCCTCAGCCTCCTGAGTGCGCCACCATGCGTGGCTCATATGCAGAATTTTAAAGTCAACTTAATTTGAAAAATTTGGGTTTACGGAGTCAAAGGGAACCTTGGGCAGATGCCAGCACGATGAGAGGAGCCCGGGCCCCCTCACTGGCTCCTGTGCCACCTGCTCTCCGCCTTGGCATCAGCTCTGAGGGTGCCGGGACCAAGCCCTCTACAGAATCCCCACCTGGCCGCAGGACCCCCAGAGCACCTCAGCAGCTGCTGTGTACACAGGGTCTCTGGTCCGTGACCCAGCGAGGGCCAGGCCGGGCACAGCGAGTACAGACTAACACTGCTAAGGCTCTGCCAATGCCAAGCACCTGCGCACTCAAGAGCTGGTGACCACCACTGGGACCCTGGTGCTGCTGCACTTTAAGGACTGGATCTTCCCGCGCTGCAAGTCACAAAGAACGGCAACAACTGGCATCTCCAAGGACAGAGCGGCTGCGTAGTTCTGGAAGGCAGCTGTGCTCACTACCCTACCACCAACACAATGGCCGCACAGCTTTGGCCAAACCAGTGGAACGTTCTGCGGGACACGGAGCTACAGGAAACGTGGTGACCACGATGAAACACTACTGGGTCGGCTAACCAGGGACAGAGCACGCTGCATCTCAAACATGGGTCCTACTGGGTGGGCCCTGTGCACACGCTCACACCAGCAGGCACAGCCCCTGCGGCTGGCGCTTGGGGGAGACCCTGTAGACTTTCCAGTCAGTGCTGCCCCCTGCACATGTCACGCGTCTGCAGAGGCCCGTCTGGGTCATGGGGCTATGGGCCACTGGTATTTTTTCTTCTATTTAACTTTTTGTTCTAGTAGTCTAAGAAGTAGAAGGTGTAATACAGTGATGGTGAGTACATTTTTTTTTTTTTGGTATCGGGTATCGAACGTGGGCCCTCGTCCTTTCAAGGCAGATGGTGGAACTGAGCCAAATCCCCAGCCTGATGAATAAGCTTTTTAAAAAATTATCACAGTAAAACACACCCTGTCATCAACCCGGCTTCCAACACTCCCCCTAGTTTCAGATATACTTGAGGCTCCTGCCACTTTCTGAAGTGGGCAGAGGTGCATCTTCTGTGCCTGCAGCTGTGCAGTCCTGCCTGTGTCACGCCCCGATGGATTCCAAATGCCGACCCGTCGCGGTCCTGTTGACTTGGGGGAGCCAGAGGGCCCACAGTGCTAACCCAGCGAACGAGGTGCGAGGGCGCGTGCCTTTCTGCTGGATGGCGCTGGGTGGCAGCAGTCACGGGACTTCTGACCTCACCTATACAGAGGCTCACAGGAGGCCTCCAGAGGGGCTTCAGGAAGCAGCGAGATGTGGGGTGCAGAGAGGGGAGGATTCTGAGACGCATGGCAGGATGCCTTTTACTGTGGAACTTTTCTTTTTTGAGGCAGGTCTAGCTATGTAGCCCAGGCTGGCCTTAAACTCGTGATCCTCCTGCCTCAGCCTGCACAGTGCTAGGATAACAGGCGTGTGTCACCACATCCAGCTACTGTGGTAAATTTTTTAAACACACATTTACCCACAGTCAGTTCAAAGTTTATTTTAATGTGTAGTTGTTTAGAACCACTGATAGCTGGGCCCTCCTGATGGGCACACAACCCATCCCCAAGGGAGGGCTAAGAGGGCCAAGGAGGGCCCAGGAGGGCCCGGTGAGTCCCAGGACGGGTCAGTGTCCCAGAACAGAGCCCAACTGCGCAGCTTTCCAGGAAGGGCCCCGCCTCAGCCTGTGGGGACTCGGGTACAGGAAGGGGAGAGACAGTGAGCTCAGGGAGCAGAAGGAAGATGTACCGAGAGCCACTCACAGCCCAGAGGGTGAACCAGCCCCACAATGGCCGAGAGCTCGCAGCCCGCCCTTCGGGGTCAAGGCCCTTACTGTGGCGCTGCCATCTGGTGCCGTGGCCCAGAAGCATAGTCTGGGCTGCAGAGGAGCAGGAGAGGAAGCCCTGGGGCTCAAGGGCTCCGGACAGCACCTTCCACTTGGGTTCACCCCCGAAGACAGGGCCAGACCCCCAAGCACCAAGACCTTCTCAGAAACACCTCAGGCGCTAAGAGCAGAGAGAGGAGTGTGGAAGGGACACTGGGAACCCACACACGCTTCAAGGGTCTCTTTCACTGGGAGGGAGAAGGGCCCTCCTGGAAAGCAGCCGCAAGCAGGAAGATGGAAATGACTCGTGTCCCCAAGTATCAGCCCTTTCCTGGCTGGCTGTGGGCTTCTGCGCGCAGAATGCCCGGGGCCCCTCCTGGAGGGCACAGCCATCCACCTCGTGTGCATTCTTCAAAGGACAGGTGCTACCAGGACTCGGAACAAATGGGCAGTCATTGCCAGGGAGGCTCAGAGAGCTGCGATTCGTGGCCCCGGAGGTCTTGGGCTACTCTGACGGTGGTGCATGAGAAGACCGGTTAAAAGATGTTTTAAGAGTAAAAATTCAAATGCTGAACATGCTAAGTGCTGTTACTGAACCAGAGCTTTCTCTCGAAGGGGAAGATCGAGACAGAAGACGACCTGGCCACTTCACCCCGGCCAGCACACTGGAGACATGAGGCGCGCACAGGGCCTGGGAGAACAGCTCAGGACGCACGGCGGCGCCTGACGCTACTGAGGAGGAAACCGACCATTCCGCACTCTCGGGAGGAGTCACTGCTAACAAGGACCGGAAGCCCAAACATCACTCTGAAGCACAGCCCTAAATCCAGGGAAATCAAGTCAAGAATCAGGCCCTGGCTTCCGTGGAGAAGTCACCCACCGTGTGGTCACGGAATGCGGACACGAGGCGGATGTGCTCTGCAGCCGCGGGCTCCGACTAAGATGAGGGAGGAGAGCTCACGCGGCCCGCGGCCCGGGGACGGCGCCGTACTTACTTTCCGGAAAGGGACTGTGCACAGTGGTAACGAAAACACCAGTCTATTCTCAAGAGGTGGAGAGCTCTTCTGCCATCCTCTCAGAGCGGCGGGACACGCTTCCCCAGGGGCCACGCGGCCCACATACAGGGCCATTACAGAGGCCCGGGCACTGCCCGCCACTCAGCACAGCGCGCTGGCGGCCTGGACTCACTCACGGGAGCAGCCGCTGCCGCCTCGAGTCCCTGCTGGCTCAGGGCCGGGCTCACTGGGGCCTCCTCCTCGGGCTGCCCTTCCTGATGTGACGGAGAGAAGAGGAGGAGGAGAAAACGGAAGAGGGCGGGCAGGAGGGAAGGGCGAGACAAGCAGGGCACATGGAGAGAGACGGTCAGGAAAGGGAGAGGGGCTTGGAACGCTCTGCTCCCCCAGGGCCATCTCGCTTGGGGACGTGCACGGCACAGCGCGGGGCTGTGGGAGCCGGGCCGACTGGCTGCACACGTTCCAGCGCACACACGCGTGCAAGCACAGCTGCGTGTGTACGGTGCTCTCTGAGGAGAAAAGTATCGATATGCTTTAAAAGGAACCTTGGCCCCGACACCGGTGGGTGAGAGTTCTGCTTTAAAAGGCAGCGTCTCGTCTCGGGGTCAGCCCTAGGGTCGGGCGGGGCCCCCTGCAGCCCTGACGCCCAAGAGCGGCTGAGCTGCGGCTCCATCTGCGCTCAGGGCGGTGCAGAATCCGTGGCCATGGCACCCGTGTTTCTGAGAACCAGGCTCCTGCGGTGGTGCAGGAGTGGGGCAGCTGCCGCGCAGCCCAGAAGCTCAGACCCCGACACTCACCAAGTGCTTCCGCCTCAGGTACTGGCGGCGCAGGACCAGGGGCTTCAGCAGCAGCATCCAGGGCACACACAGCAGCGCGACGACCACCAGGAAGCACTGGATCCCCTTCTGTGGGCCGGGCGGGCAGAAGGGCGGTGTGGGTGGGGGCCCGCGCCACCCTGAGCAGCACCCCCACGCCTGCCAGCCCGCGCACCTGCCCGGAGTACAGCATGGCGCCGCCCGACTCGGGGTAGGAGAAGAGGAACATGTTGATGAAGTGGATCAGGAGGCTGGGCGCGGTCTCCGATGTGTACGCGCTGTAGGCCGTCCACTTGTAGAAGATGAGAATGACCAGGTAGCCGAACAGAGAGGCCATGAAGATGATCTCGGGGATGAACCCGAGGTAGATATTCAGGGGCTTCTTGAAGTAGCTAAAGGAAGATGGGACTGTTCAGGGAGAAGGGATGGGGAGGCTGGGCTGCGGGGCTCACCGGTTCCTGTCTGGGGGCACAGAGCAGGCTCTCGGGTGGGCTCCAAGCCACCTCCATCTCTCCAGGAAGGGGTCCCCAAAGCACAGTACCTCCCCAAAGCCCTGCGCACCAGGGGCTGAGCTGGTGCCTTCACACTGAGTGACATTCTGAGGCCTTTAAAATTATTATTTTCTTCTTGAGACAGGAGCTCACTAAGTCGCTCAGACTGGTAATCCTCCTGTCTCAGCCTCCCAGAGTGCTGAGATTACTGGTGTGCACCACCAGGCGCACAGTTTGTAATTTTACACATCAAGAAAGAAAAGGAGTTCACTCAATTTGATAAAGAAATCACTGAAGCTTTTCTCAAAGATTTTTATCACAACCATAAATTGCAAGGGACTAATAATAAGTTTCATTTGAGACCATGAGATTTTTTTTTTTTTTTTTTTAATACCGGAGATTGAACTCAGGACCTTGCACTTGTGAGGCACGTTTGGGTACCACTGAGCTATATCCCCAGCCAGGAGACCATGAGATTTTTTTTTTTTTTTTTTTAATACCGGAGATTGAACTCAGGACCTTGCACTTGTGAGGCACGTTTGGGTACCACTGAGCTATATCCCCAGCCAGGAGACCATGAGATTTTGTGTGTGCTTTTTGAGACCAGATCTCACTATGCAGATCAGGCTGGCCTTGAACTCTAGCCTAGGCGGGTCTTGAACTTACAGTGATCCTCCTGCCTCAGCCTTCTGAGTGCTGAGAACACAGGTGGGTGCCACCATGCCCAGCTAGGCCATGGTACTCACACCTGTGAGCCCAGCACTTGGGAGACAGAGGCAGGAGAACTTCCAGCTCGAGGCCTGGGCTACACAGTGACCCTGACTCAAAGAAACAAACAAAGGCCGCGGGGCTTTACCAGATGGTGGCTACAGTACAGGGCCAGGCTCTAAGTCATTAACACACACACACTCCACAAACCACTACCATGTCTTTGGCAGAAGCTGCGCCCCCACCGCCCCAAGACTCACACATGGTTGAAGAGGCTCAAGCTGACGCCGAACAGCATGTGGACAATCCCCAGGGTCACCGACATCTTCATCTTGAAGGAGTTGAGGAAGCTCAACTTGTTGGTGGCAATGTTCCAGATCTTTCAAACCCAAGAAAAGAAAGAGCATCACACACAGAACGCTCATCTGTTTAGAAGAGACTTGTGTCAGTGCAGGAACCCTGAACGTGCACTTAGATACCGGGAGGAGCAGTGTCCCCTGCCTTGTGTGGAGTGCAGCCCAGATACCACGACCCGCACAGCGAGGCTGGTGAAAAGGCAAGGAGTTGGTTTGGAGACCTGACCACAGGGCGGGTGTCACCCCAGGAAGCATTCACAGGGACGTTTCTCTCTTGGCGCTGGGGATGGACCCCAGGCCTTGTGCTCGCCGAGGGCCCTGGCCCAGCAGCCGTCCTTTGGGCCCAGGACAGCGGTCAGCGTGGACTCCTGCCACGTATGGGCTTTGCGGCCGTCTCACCAGGCCTCCCCTTCCTAGCTGTGGCCCAGGGCGCCAAGTCGCTCTCCTCGGCCTGTGCCCTGGGCAGTAGAACCCCAGGGGCCACTCCTGCTCAGCCAGGGCCACCGCCACCCACAGTCACTCTTGTCCCCGTGGGCCAGCTGCCTACTCTGCCCCACTTAGCCACCAGTCACCTTGCCTGAGCCACAGACCAAGGGAGCCAGAGGCTGGGCGACCTCGTGGGAAAGCTCATGACGGTCTCTCAGTTCCACAGCTCGAGCGTCTGGTGCCCCAGCCCCTCCAGCATCTCCCTGTGCACATGTGACCTCAGTGCCGCTGCAGGCTCGGACTTAGATCCACTTATCCAGCAGGCGCCAGGCCCTGCAGACCGCGGCAGCCCCAAAGAGTGTCCAGCAAGTCTGGGAAACCTGTTCTCGGTGTGCTCGGGAGGGCAGCATCTCTCTCATGGACCCAAGGACTCACCGGAACACCAGGGTCCACAGCTAGCACCTACGACATCCGCTTATCAGCCACCCTTCTAGCAGGGGAGGAAGCTGCTGCTACAATGCCACAGCTCCGTCAGTGGACTCAGCCCCAAGTAGGGTACAGCGCTGCACATTACAATCCCACCACTCTGGGAGGCTGAGGCAGCACGCTCCCGAATTGCAGTCCAGATGGGGAAACTTAGTGAGACCCTGTCTCAAAATGAAAAAGAAAGGGCTGGGACAGAGCTTAGTGTGAACGCCCGGGGTCCAAGCCACCCCCCCACAGTGGAGAGAGCAAGTGCATCTCCTGTGGGGCAGCCCTGCTGCAGGGCGGGGTGGGCTGTGCTTGCTGCTCTCTGCTTTTTGGTTAGGGGCCTGGGACTCACTGAGGCCCCGCAGCTGGTGAGGACCCAAGTGTAACGCATCTGAGAGGGCGCCAGGATGGGATGCGTGCTTCTCCCGCTGCGTCCCGTTCCCCTCAGGCCGAAGGGCCCGCCTGGGAGCTGCCAGCACAAATGATGCTGTCTGCGGTGGGACTGGCCCTGCCTGCTGCTCACCATTACCAAAGGGAGCAAAACAGCAGCGACAAATGGAATAAAATCCTTTAAATGGCCCCCGCTGAAGAAACGACTTTCCTGGATGGGTCCCGAGGGAAGCCCTACGCCCTGGGTGCGCAGGCTGCGGAGGAGCACACCACTTCCGGTGGTCCTGCAGCCCAGCTCTGTGCACGGATGCCGTGGGCGACCGCGTCAGCAGCACACTGCCCTGCACACCCGCCTCTCCTGCCCAGAGCCGGCGCAGCCTTCAAAGCCCAGAGGAGCAGTCACCTTCTATAGGAAACAACCTTTCAGCCCTAAGGCCTGTTTTTCCTCCGGGTTGTGTAATCCTCTGTCTTACTCTTTGTTACTATCTCAGCTTAAACATGGTAATGAAGATCTGACCATATTATTTGCTGAAGTATTTGAAAAAAAGAATTCTGAAAAAATATAAGAAAAGGAAAAAATGGAAACAAAATCTTCATAAACAGGGAAGGGTGGAGAGGGTGAAGGGAGGGCAGAGAAATGGGAAAAAAATAAGAACCAAGATACATCGTGTGAATGTACAAGATCCCAATGATGAATGGAACTGAGCTGTGTACCTAAAAAGGACCAATAAACTTGAAAAAAGAAACAAAGAATTTTGAGATAAGTGTCCTGCCTGGCCTGAATGAGACTCTGCAAAAAACAGGCTACTGGGACAGATGGCCATAAGAAGATTCTGCTGGAGGACACAATCTCCCGGGTGCTGGTGTCCAGTGACTATGTGCACACCTGCGCTGACTGTCCTTGGACCCTCAGTCATAAACATTTCAGCCCAGATTCCTTAGGCCCTTCAGCACATATTAAACCCAATTCCCTTCCCAGCTAGCTGCTGACACCCCCACCCCCCGCGTCAGCCCATCCGCTCATGGATGTAATACGTTTAGCTCTTCCTAGCTTCCTGCTGAAATCTGCCCCGAATTTCAGTTTTTGTTCACACCTGGAATAAACCTTTTTTTTTCTCACAAAGCCTGTCTCTGAGTGACCTCACACATCCCAGCACTCAGGAGGCTGAGGCAGGAGAAGTGCCGAGAGTTCAAGGCCAGTTGGGGCTATATAGTGAGTTCGAGGTCAGCTTGACTTACATAGTGAGAGCCTGTCTCAAAACAAAAACAGTAAGTTTTTGCAAGTATATAAAGATAAGACTGGAAATCTGAAATCCACGCAAAGATAGTTCTGGTTTGTTAAACTGTCTGCTAAAAATTAGAGACTCGAAAATAAATTTTCCCAGAGGCAATATTTTAGCTACTTCAGAAATAAGTATTGTTGGAACCTGTAATCCTAGCTGTTGGGAGGCTGAGAAAGGAGGATCATTGTGAATTCAAGGTCAGCCTGGGCTACAAAGTGAGCCCCCATCTCAAAAACCACAAAAAAAGGCAGAGAATTTAGCTCAGTGGCACTGCACCTGCCTCACAAGTATAAGGTCCTGAGTTTGATCCCCATACCAAAAAAAAGAAAAGAAAAACTATGTGGCTCCCAACATACTTGGGTTCTGATGGCTTAGCAGCACCCTGAACACGACACGTCAGCTGGAAAGGGGAGAGCTATTTGTCTTCACTTCAGCGCCCTCCCTTTGGGATGACAGCGGGGACTTGAGGCGGGACACAGGGCAGAAGTCTCACCGGATCGATGCCGAAAGGGTACGGGCCACCAAAGACGCCAGGCACGGCTGGGTTCAGCTGCAGCACAGGGTTCCCCCGGAGTGTCTCCTCCCTGCCAGAGGGGAGCAGAGCCACTTATGCTACACACCGGGGCCCCACAACCCCGCAGTCTTTTCAGCAAGCGGAGGGGCTGGCGCCAGGGGCGAGAGTGGTCAGCCGCGAGGAAAAGCGGGCACACGACCAAACGGGGACCCAGGGCCTGCTGTCCACGTACTGATAAGGAACGCGCTGTCTCCAGTTCTATACACCCAGCTGAGGCCGGCACGTCGCCTCACTCTCGCAGGTGCCAGCTGGTGCCGACGTGAAACCGGCGCCCAGCAGCTTCCGGCTGCCCTTCAACTTACGTCCAGTTGTAGACAGTGAACATTGGCCGCACACTCCAGGACGAGCCGAAGATGTTCAGGGACTTGGAGAAGCAGTCGTTGTAGATGAGGCCGGTGTAGGTGGAAAAGACGCCCATCAGCAGGATGATGTAGCGGCCGCTGAACACAGTGCTGAACATCTGCAAGCAGAGGCGCGGCCTGGCTACCTCACCACTCCCGACACGCGCGAGGCCCCTTTCTGCTAAGGAGGAGAGGGCATCTCTGTCCCCTTGGACGGTTCGTGGTGCTAGAATTCCAGGTGGAAATGAGCCTCTGTTCCCTGCAGATGTAACTGCTGCCCAGTGGTCCTGGCGCAGGGTGGAAGGGGCTGCGCAGAGCTGTGTCCCCAGCCCTTCTCATCACTCACTTGCTAAGGGGCCCGCCTGGCCTTGAACCTGCCACCTCCTGCCTCAGGCCCCACAGACACCGCACCCAGCAAGGGGGGACCCCAGTGGCACCTCGTTCTCATTCTTCTGCGAGAGGATACGACTCTCCCTTAACACCATCCACACAGCAAAGAGGGTCATCAGGATGCCATGGCCGAAGTCCCCAAACATCACGGCGAACAGGAACGGGAAGGTGATGATGGTGTAGGGAGCTGGGGAGAGGCCAGGGGAAGAGTGCGCGGGAGGAGAGCCTGGCCCCACCGACCCGCAGCCGCCCAGCCCAGGCAGGACAGGAGGGGTCCGCAGGCTCTGCTGAGCGGCTCTCCCAGCGGCTCCTTCTCTCTCCTGTGGAACCCAGGCCCCAGCAGCCACCCACCCTCTTCCGCTGGCCCCTCCCCAGCCCTGGGCCTCGAACACTGAACTGGGGGCGTGGGGTGCAGACTGACAACTGCTGCCACCTCCCTGCGCGCCCGGGCAAATGAAGCCAGGAAGGAGCTCGGGAAAACATCAGGCACTTCGAAAAGCCTTTGCAGGAAGCAGCGCCCCACAAAGGTGTGCAGGGAGCCGGCTGGGTGCAGCTGGGGGCCGGGTGGGTGCAGCTGGGGGCCAGGCACTGTGGAGCTCTTGCCCACAGCCTCGCTGGCCGGCCCTACAGGGAGGCGCTCACAGGCTCTGACGACGACACTGCCGGGAACAGGCTGCTGCGGGTACCTGGGTTGATCTCCCGGTAGGTCCCGATCCCATAGGCGTCCACGATGTTCTGGAAGCCAGAAGTGAACTTGTTGGTCTTGTTGTAGGTCGGTGGCGTCTGGTTTGTCTGCATTCTGTTCAGGATGGACGGCACGGTGGAGCCGCTGTGCTCCTGGGGACGACAGCACACACTGAGGTCAGGGCACACACAAAACGGGCCCACTTTTGCAAATCATCACAACAAAACCGAAGGACATAAGGTCATGGGCCATCTTTCCCAGGTTTTGGAAAAGCCACAAGTATGACATTTACAGTGTAAGGTTTTGATTCCATCTTGGGAAGTACAATACGTTGTAACAGTGAAAAAGTATTAATTTGAAGCCAGGAACGACAATGCATGGCCGTAGTCCAGCACTCAGGAGGCTGAGGCAGGAGGGTCACTGAAACACACATTTAAGACCCAAAAGTTGGAAAACCATTTCGCGGGAAGCAGCCTCAACCAAGGTGAGCAGGAGAGGGCTGGGGGCAGCTGAGGCCCAAGCACAGGAAACCAAAGCACAGCGAGAGCCTGTCTGGAAAAACCAGGCTGTTTGGAGACAGCACAGAGCCACCTCTGCCCTCACCAGGCCCTGAGGGGCAGAGCAAACTGGGCTGGGCTGGGCAAGCAGTGCCTGCTGGCTTCTGGGCTGCACCAGAGCCCCACACCCTGCCTTCTCCCTCCTGCCTTCCCCGCGACCTGCTGCAAAGCACAGCCACTGCCGGCTCCACTCATTCCCTCAGATGTCACAGATCCTACATCGTCGCCCTCACAAGTCCTGCCTTGGGGTCCCCAGACCTCCCGCATCTGGATGATGGCTACGCTGGCTATGGCCGACGGGAGCCCCGTGCTCTCACACTGGAGGGTCTGCTGAGCCCCTCACGGCTGAATCACCCCAGTGCTTTCTAACCCGGATGAAGCACCAAGCCTTGACCTGTCCTCTGACAGCCCTTCAGGTGCCGGTTGAAGTGGCGCTCGCCTGTGATCCCAGAACTCGGGAGTGAGGCGGGAAGACTGCACGAGTCTGAGGACAGCCTGGGCTGCACAGTGAGACCCTGTCTCAAAACACCAAAGACCAAAAAAAAACCCAAAAAACCAAAAAAGACAGAAGAAGAAATAAAATCCAAGGCCAGGCCCAGGACATGCTGCTGCCCCTCACTTCCTGCCTTGTCACATCCGGTCCTCAGAGGCCACATCCATGCCACCTGGCTCTGCTTGGTTTCCTGTGTGGCGCAAACGCTCCCCACAGAGGAGTGCTCGGTGTCACTCAGGACCACCTCCACGGAGCCCACTGGTCGCTGGGTCGCAGGGCCCAGCTCGCACACAGGCTGGTGGGGCCTTGCATGCCAGCGCATTGTCCCGGGAGCTGTGAGGTCATGGAGGTCATCGCCTCCGTTCCTGTCCCCCAGGCCCCAGGCAGTGTCAGAAACAGCCACAGAGAGGGGCTCACAGCCATGCAGGGCCTGGTGCTGGCCAGCTGCTCCCCACAGGTGGGACTCTGCCCCTCCAGACCACTGTGGGGCCCAGAGAACACAGCATAGAGCTGGGAGGAGAGCGGCGGGGCCCTGCACCTCAGAGCCCAAAGCCCAAAGCCTGGCTCACCGTGCCCCTCCGCAGCGCAAACTGGATGGAGTCCAGGTCAGTGACGGGGCACCAGACCTCGGCGATCAGGCACTTCTGGGTGACGTCAATGTTGCAGAGGTTCAGCGTGTGGTAGATGGCCTTCATCTTGCGCACCTTGATGAACCACACCCGGATGTTCTTGGCGGCTGCCTGCAGGACCCGCTGGCGGTGATCCTCAGTTTGGTTCAGAACCTTTCAGGGAGAGGACGGAAGCTGGGCCCACTGCAAGGAGGTGCAACCTTCCGACAGGGGCGGCGGAGAGTGGACCTTTTTAGTTTGGGTCGGATCACAACATGAGGGCTCTGATGACGAATGTCCTCTATTCGCTCCGAGCTGCACTGTTCAGAGAACGATTTAGCTTCTCTGTCCACACTCACTCTTCCCGCATCCAGGACCCAACAGAGGCGCCTCTCTTCACTGCAACTCGACCCGGACCCAGACCCGGTGACAGCACCCTGCTGAGCCGGGGGCACAGGGACACCGCAGTCCCTGGGCTGCGAGGCCGGAACAGAGCTGCTCTAGGGAGGTGCAGGCATTCAGGCATTTCACAGCCCCAGGCCGTGGCATTCGATCTCAGAGGCAGGAGGAGGAGGAGGAGGAGGAGGGAGCCTCCTGCTCTCCATCTGCCTGCACTGGCAGAGGAGGCCCTCGTGGTCCTGCAGGAGAAGCCACCAAAATCTCACCTTCCTCTCAGAGGAAGGGGCTTCATCCCACCCATGTTAAAGCTCCCAGCCTGGCCCAGAATGGAGCAGCAGTGAGGCCCTGAAAAGCTGTCCTGCACCCAGCAAGACCACTTTGCAGAGGTTCACAGCAAAGGCCGAGTCGGCCGTGGCGGCGCACACCTGCCATTCCAGCACTTGGAGGATGAAGCAGGGGGCCACAGTGCGTTCCAGGCCAGCCTGTGTGAGCTCTAGTGAGATACTGTCTCAAAAAACCAGACAACAACAACAAAATCATCAAAGGCCTCATGTGCAGAGAAACTCGGTGTCACTGTAGGAAGGTCACTTCCTTGGGAAGCAGGCGGAAGAGCCACTGAGCTAAATCCCTGGCCCTGAACATCTCTTTTTAAATGAACAGTATCTGCAGCCCAGGTAGAGGGGCCTGAATGCACGACATTACCGCGGTGCTCTCAGGGGACCAGTGAGTTTCCTGCGGTCTATGCCGAGGGCCCGGGACGCCTGCATACCAGCTGCAGGTCATCGATCCTGGTGTTGACTCCAGAAGCCATCTCCTTCCTCTCCTGCGGCGTCTCGGGACAGGGGTAGAGTGAGGCCCGGAACCTGCGAAATGCACGGACATGGCCTGAGGAACATCCACACGTCGGTTGCTTTCTTTTTTTTGGTGGTTGTATTTTTGGGGGGGGGGGCGGGTACCGGGGATTGAACTCGGGTCGTTGCAATTGCAAGGCAGGCGCCAGAACCAGAGCTAAATCCCCGGCCCTGGGTGGTTGTATTTTTGGGGCAGGATTTTTCTATATAGTCCAATCTGGCCTCGAATTTGCCACATAGCCCAGGCTGACCGCCAATGTATCACCCTCCTGCCTCAGCCTCCCGAGTGCTGGGATTACAGGAAGGCACCACCACAGCCAGCTTTAAATTCCTTGACATGTCCAATTTAAATAACCTCAGGAGCAGCTCACTAAGTAGGCTCAGTTAGACTGGTGCGTTAACACTGAGCATGTGAAGAGCCTGCGACAGAACAGGAACCTCTGGACCATCTCCACCTTCTCTGTAGCTCTGAGAGTCCCTTGAGATTCAAAGAAGGAAAAGCAGCTACCTCATAGATTACTGGGGAAGTGGCACGGAGAACACCCTGTCCACAGCCAGACTCAGTGTGAGGATGCTGCCTCCGGGGCACTGCCCAGTCCCACGGTCCCAGAGTGGAGGGCACAGCCAGGCTTCTGAGGAGAGGAGCCCGGGCCCTTCTTTCTCTTTGTGGTGCTCAGGGTAAACAGGGCCACTCTGACTGAGCTGCACTCCCCACCTGCTTTATGTTTTTGAGGCAGGGTCCTGCTATGTAGCCCAGGCTGGCCTCAAACTCACAGCCATCCTCCTGCCTCAGCCTCCCGAGTGCTGGGTGACAGGTGTGCATCACTCCCCTGGGCTGGGCTACACATTCCCCACACAGAGGTGGGGGGTCTCTTACCCCTCACAGATCTTCTTCACTCTGTTCTTCAGCTGATCGCCTTGGAAGAAAATGATGAACACCGACTTGTGCACATGGTCACCCTAGGCCCCAGAAGCAAAAAGCAGGGTTCAGACCCCAGTCCAGAAAACCCCTCAGACAGCTCCCCTCTGGGTGGTGAGGACACGGCTGCCTGCACTGCAATCTGCGCCCACTCCACTCCTGAGGCCGCAGGACGAGGACAGCAGCCTACAGTTTCTAGCACACAGTCTGCTTTCACACCCGCCCAGGAGCTAAGGTTATGTTCCTCTGACTTATTTTCCAGCTCAACTTTATTTTATTTTATTGGCTTTTTTGAGACAGGGTCTCACTATGTACCCAGGCTGGCTTTGAACGCGCGGCGCTCCTGCCGCCTCAGCCTCCTGAGAACTGGGATGACTGGCGTGACCACCCTGCCTGGCTTCCAGCTCAACTTTAAATCTTCCATTAGCTGCAGGAGGAAGGCCTCTTTATGTCTGTCAGTGGACTTAGGAAGCCAAGGAAAGGCTGCAGCTACCAGGCACTGAGTGCCGGGAAGACTGTGACAGAGAACCGGGATCTGCCAACTCGGACCATGGGGGGAGAAGCGGGCTCCAAACGCCAGGCTCACACCGGAGCACCAGTAAAGTCCAGAAGGACCCGACAGAGCAAACCGGCATGCTGGCCAGGCTGTCTGGCAGCTGTCACTGCTCACATTCAAACAGAGGAGGAGACGGACGCCTTTAGAAGGCTGAAGAATGCGGAGGGAGGGGCGTGAGGCCCCGGCCCACATGGCGGCACTGCTGCAGACTGGCCCTGTCCCAGGTCTGCTGCCCACTGGCCCAGGACAGCCCTGTGCAGGGCGCGGCTACAGACAGCGTTCCCACTGCCCAACAGACCGGTGAGGCTGTGTACTGCGTAAGGGTCACCCCATCCCCCGGGCACCGACACTGCCTTACCCCAATCTCTCTTCTTAGGCAGACAAGGAAAATTAATTTAAGAAAGTCACAAAACTCAAATTTTGGGTTCTAATGATGCTAAGGTCTGCCTGCAATTCCTGGACCAGGAAGTGAGGTCACTCCTGCTTTCCAGAGTGCGCGCGGAGGGCCCTCGGGTCTCGCAGAGGGCTATTCTTAAATTCTGATTCTCTAACAGGCCAGGTGGCAGCGAGATCTTAGCAAGCAGAGTGTCATCGGCTCATAAAATCCACAGTTTAGGAGGTGACTCCTCTCTTTCTTTTGAGACAAGGTCTTGCTACGTAGCCCAGGCTGGCCTCCAATTCACGGCGATCCTCCTGCCTCAGCCTCCAGAGTGCCAGGGTTACAGGCATGTGCCCATGCCCAGCAGTCACTCCTCTTTTTTCACACGACCATTATCACATGTGGAAACTAATGTCTTACTCTAAGTTAATTTTCATGACAGGCAAATTTTCCGACAGCTCCAAGTTAGTAAGAGGAAATCTAAAGCTAAAGTGTTAAATAACTGGAAAACCCTATTTCCAACCCAAACGCGACACCCTAGGGAAGCTGGACATCTGTCCAGGCCGTGGGCAGGGCAGCCTTCCAGTCCTCCCTGAGGACCACACTGGGTCCTGGGCTAGGGTTGCTCTGAAAGCCCTGTCTGGGGGATGCAGCGTCCTTGTCTTACAGTCACGGGGTCCTCCAGGGGGCTGTCGATCGCAGCCTGTCGCAGGAACACGTTCCCTCGGCACACACGCCACAGCATACGTTCAAAGGTAGGGATGCGCTCTCGGTTAATCACACCAGCCACGAAGCTGCAGGAGAGGAGCAGGCTCGGTGCTCAGGCCGCAGTCCGGGCAGAAGGGGCCTCTGCACACGAGGCATCGCACAGTCCTGGCCAGGAGGTGCAGGCAGCACGGGGACCACTCTGCAGACGGCGGATGCCCAGCCTCGCCGCCCCCAGTGCTGCCCCAGACCACAGCATAGTCTGCAAGCCCTGGCCAGCTTACCCCAGCCGCAGCGGGGCGCCTCTCCCCATCTCGCTGGGCTCCAGGAGCGACGAGGACTCTTCCAACAGGTCTGGATCCGCCATCTGCTGATGATGCAATTCAGCCTGAATTCACAAATCAATTAATATCTAATGAAAATAGTTAGTGGCATGCAGGGAACGAGGAACCAGGAGATAGGTTCGGAAAAGAGAGATGGAAAAAAAAAATGAAAGCAAAACACTGAAAGGCAAGACATTCCCACAGAGAGAAGACAGGAAGAGCGGGGAAGGACGCGAAGGCAGGAAACACGAGGGAAAGAAAGCGTAAATGCCCAGCGAAGCACGTGAAGGCGTGGTTCAGAAACAAGGGGCACGCAGGGAGTGATGGGAGGTGTAACAGCTGCTTCGGGTGGAAGCCGCTCTCCCCGTTTCCGAGTGCTCAGAGAGCTCTCCTGTTAGCAGACAGAAGCTGCTACAAACCCGACCTCCGCGTCTCCCAGGAGACCCGCGGCTCCAGCACTGCACGATGGGTGACGGGAGGACTGACAGGACTCTAGGACCCAGGTCTTCGCAGCCGCAGAAGTTCAGGCCGCGGGTGCAGCCCCTCCCTTGGCAGAAGGAGCACAGCAGCTGTGCAAAGGCCCGGGAAAGCATGCCCAAATGGCCACTTTCCAAAAGGAATCTAGGGGTGTTTGCGACCTGTCTGCAGGCTTTCCAGGGGAAGGGCTCCCGAGAACACTGCTCCAGAACCAGCAGAGCAGGAAAAGCAGCAGAGGATCAACAGTCCGCAGCAGGGCTGGCCTGACCGGGGTCGGAACAGTTTCCACCGGGACCATTTCCACACCGCAGCAGAAGGGGCACACGCCTCTCAATCCTGCCTGCTCTCCTGCCGCCAGAGAAGCCCCCTGCCAAAGCGCACCTAGTCCACCGCTCTGCTGCCAGCTCCCCAACTTTACAGTCCACGAGCTACTCATCTGCCCAAAGACCGTGAAAAAGCTGGCTTCTCAAATGCAAAACCAAACAAGTCAGAAAACCTTTTTCCCTATCATTTTCATTCCAAATTCGAATTTGAATCTATTCCTGTCAGCCATACATTATCAAAAAATGCTGCAAGAGGACCTCACTAGAAATCATGGGACTAGCTGTGCTTCAGCTGGGGAGAAGCTGGGGAGACCAGAGGACTTGGGGCCCGAGGGGGGAGAGCAGCTGTTTCGGAAGCGAGGGTCAGGCTGTCCAGAAGAGTGGAAACAGAAGTTGCATCAGAGGCTCGGAGACCGACAGGATGGTCGTGCCGTCGCTGTGACAGCGGTCACAACTGCCACCCTGAGCACAGCAGGGCTCTTCTGGCTTCTCTTCCCAACAGCTGGCTATAAGCAGAGCGGGGCCACAGTACCCTGTCCCACCCGCAACCTCCACATCACTCAATGCTGGCCAGACACGGGTGCCCTGAGGGCCCAGGAGGGACAGGAAGCAGCGCTCACAGCAGAAGCTCCAAGGCTGGAGCTGGGATTCTCGGTTAGCAGCTGCAGGGTTAACATCAAGCACGTACTGCAATACCCTAACTACGTGCTGCAAACTGCACTGATTCACATTTAGGAAGCCCAAGGACTAGAGAGGAAGGGTGGAAAAGGGTGCCACGTGCCTGGGGAAGACACTGCCAGAGCCGCCCGCTGAGGCCTTCAGGGCAGCAGCTGACAATGGGCTCATCAGGACCCAACCCCAGGACCTGGATCCCTCACCCGCAACGTGGCCCTGGCCCTCAGCCACCCAGCCGAGCAAGGAAGCACAGAGCGCTCCCGTCCGCTCCAAGCCCCCGCCCGGCCTGGCCCACCAGCACCCACCTGCACCCACGCCGAGAGGGGACCACTCACCACCCGCACATGGTGTGCACCCGAACGAGGGACATGGCAGATGGGAAAGAAAAGAAAGAAAGCAGATGGATGGAAACTCAGAAGGAAAGGAAGGCGGGGTCTGCATGCCATTAACCATTACTTTTCCAGTCTTCTTTATGCTCTCATATGTCATGGTGCTTATGGAAAAGGTGCAGAGAAATCTCTCCGGCTCTTACAGCTCTTCATAAGCAAGAAGACTGAGAAAAGGTCAATCATTAACAAGTCATCATAAATGCTCCAGATAAGACAGGCCGTGCTGAATCTGCAGTCAGCTAGATCATAAGAATACACAGTACCCGTTTGCTTTTCCCCTGCTGATCACAAGCCCAGGCCTAGGGACAGAGTCGTGTCCCATTTACCCATTTCCTGCTCGCTTGTTGCTGTAGGTTATTGATTGCATTCACCGAAGTGTAAAAAGACCAGAAGTTTAAAGCTGATAGTGTGTAAGGCCGTTTGCAAACATTACAATTTCAGGCATGAAGAAATTCTCATGAAAAACTCTTATATAAGTTTTCGACACTGAGGGTCCCGAGTGTGCTCACGTCTTGCACTGTTTACACATGCACTTGCACACACGTGTGCCCCTCTGTGAGGCCTGGGCTCAGGTCACGCTGTTGGGCAGCGGCAAGGACAGGCAAGACTGCCAGGGACTTCTGTGCAGCTTAGAGGCTGGGACCGAGTAGGAAAATCAAAGCCTGCCTGGGCCTCATCTCCCAGAGCCCCCAAGACTGGACAGCAGGAGGCCAGCCTGGCCACAAGACCTGGAATTTACTATGCAGGCTCAGAAATCCCTGCACCCCTAACGCGGGGTTGGGAAGTTATGTGTCATCTGTGTCTCCTCTTATTTTTACGGCTTTATCCTAGAAAATCAGGAGCTCATTTTCTTATCTATTCTGGTGTGGGGACTGAACCTCAGGCCTCCTTCCTGCTAAGCACGAGTAGTTTAAATAAGCATTTCCCTTCAGGGGCCCACGCGTGGTCTTTACTCAGAATTTCTTGCTAGGGCCACAACAGGGCACCTACTTGGGAATCACAAGGACACTAGAACAATACAGGGCCCCTGGGAGGCAGCAAGGGAGACTGAAGGGAGGAGCACTGAGCTCCTAGCTTGGGGTGCGAGGCCTGTGAGCAGCGCTGTGGCCAGTGGCATGGGTGCATTTAGAAATGCAGCACCGGCTGGGCATAGGGACGCGGCTAGGGCAGGCAGCACCGCAAAGGAAGGTAAAGGCGCAGCACACGCGTGAGCACCGGGGGCACTGGGCCCAGGACGATCCTGACGGACGCAGGGGCCGGGCTGCACAGCCTGGGCCTCGGGAAGAGGGGCCCTTATTCTGGGAGTCATCATGTGGGGCGGTGAGCAGCCTGGGGCTCCGCTGTGTCCCTGAGAACCACGAGGTGCTGCCTGCACAAATGGACTGGAGAGAGCACCGCGCCCAGCTCCCAGTGCAGCGCCCAACAACATCCCCACCACTGTGCCGATTGACCCTTCCCACGGCCTGAGCTACTGCCTGGTGACTCTGGTGGGGCAGCAGGTGTCCTCCGCACGGTGCTCCACGGGCTTGGCTCCTCCGGGCAGGTCCCTGACGCCAAGGGACCGGGGACACCGGCAGCTCGGTGTCCTGAACCAGCATTTTTCAATTCAGCAGGCCACAGCCGCACCCTGTGCAAGCAGATAGCTGCCCCCCACCACAGGGCGCCTGACTCAGAGGCCTGGGCTGGGCCCTAATTACCGGTTAGGCCTCCATCCCAGGTGAAGCCCCATCTGCGGGTTAGAAATTCCTGCTCTGGCCGGAGCACTAGAGACCTGGTCTCTTCTCAAGGGCAGAAAATTAAAGCAAATCTGAGAACATCAGAGGCCCAACTATCTCTGTGCATTTCTAACACTTGGCCTTGAGTGTGTTTTTGTTGTTGAGCAAATAAAATAAAAATCTTTACAAGAGGCACATGAAACAGTGACGGCCTAGAGCTGCCTTTTGTTTTTGTTTTTTTGGTACCAGGGATTCAACTCGGGACCCTGTGCTTGAGGGCAGGGGGCAGAACCACTGAGCTGTATCCCCGGCCCTAGAGCTGCCTTGTGAGCACCAGCGCCACCAGTCTGGGGGCAAAGACCCTGTGAAAACAGGGCTGCCAAGTGTCCAGGCCTTGGTGGGGACACATCTCGGCTGAAAGGTGAGGCTCCCTCGGTTTAACCAGGACAGGGGCCTCTCTGAGGGGCCCCACCCCACCTCCCTCCTCAACCCGACTCAGAGAACAAAATCAAAATCAAAATCTGATGCAAAAAGGATTGCAGATTAAATCTTTGTTACAATTTTGTGTATAACCCGGTGTTTGTTTCTTCAGCGTTAACGTTAAACATATACTTACCTTATATTTTTACATAAATGTAAAATTTCAACTATGTTTATACAATGACCTTAGGGTTCCTTTCCCCGTGTTGAGATGAAAAATTGCAGGAAATGTGAAAATATAGAAAACCATGGCTGACTGTGTACTGCATGAGAAATGGAACATAATCTGACATTTTTTTCCCCAACTAAAACAGAGTGCAAACATGGTATTGCTTCCAAACTAGCAAATTAAAATAATTACTGGAATAAAAATATGGCCCACTTATGCAGGTGCAGTATCAGCTGCTCGAATGCTAAAAGAAACAATAGGCTGACCTCGTCAAAAAATTGCTGCGTTTTGCGAAGAATGAATTTGAGTTCAGTCAGTTCCAGGAAGTTTCTCTTCAGGGCCTCCTGGTTTGTGTTGATTTCCTTCAGCTCGTTTTCAATCTTCTCAAAATTGGCCTAGAGGAAATACGGAAACTTGGGCTGAGGATGCTCACTCAGAAGGACGCCACCCAGGAATGGGCACATGGAAGGGTCAGAGTCACTACAGCCACCCAGCAACTGCTGACTTTACCCAAGCAATTTTCTTTATGCAACTTCTCGGCTTAGTACTAGTCTTCCATTGTCTACAGATTATACAGTAGTCTCTGGAAAGTCACCAGGGATTGCAGATGTATAACATATTACCAAAGCCCAGTGGTACACGTTTATAATTCCAGCACTCTGGGAGGCAGACGCAGGAGGACTGCAAGTTCAAGCCCAGTCTGGGCAACTTAGTGACTTGGCAAGACCCTGTCTGAAAATATAAAGAGCTGGGTTTGTGGCTCTGGGCAAATGCCATAGGTTCAATCTGAAGTACTACCAAAAAAACAAAACAAACGCCTGCGACCATTCCTTTACTCTTTGAGGTTAACAGGCTACTGGATACATCCCATGGGTCCAGGAAGGGCTCCCGTACCCAGCAGGCAGGACACTGCAGGGAACACACTCCAACCCACCCTCAAGAGACCTGCACCCAGAGACAGCGCTCAGCAGGTCAGCAAGGCTGGCTCCACTCCCTGCCCACCCAAGAAGGTGACTTCTGCGCTTCGGTAGGAAGAAACCATGTGGCTTTCCAGACTTGTTTACCTCCAAGTCGATCATGTCCCGGGGGAAGGGCACCTCTGGGTTTTCACCGGTGTCCATAATTGGGATGTTGGCTTTTCTTATCTCTTTCTCAACAAATCCTGAAACAACAGAAGCAAAACATTCACAGATAGCTGTACATGCCTAAAATCACGATTATTTGAGGGGGATAAAAAAAAAAAAGACCCAAAACCCGGCTCTAAAGTTTCATTCAAGCAGAGCTGGGGGCAGGGGCCTGTAATGCCTGCACTCAAGGAGGCTGAGCCAGCAGGATTCCAAGTCCAAGCTCAGGCTGGGCAAGTCAGCAAGAGGGAAGGGGACATAGCTCAGCGAAGGGCCCGGGTCCAGTCTCTAGTACTGCAATGTAAAAGGAAAAGCTCCATCCTAAGAATGAAAGAACTTTCCTAGAAGAGCAGCAGCCTTTCCTCCACACCCTCATGGTGTCCCCCACTCTCCAGTAAGCCTGAGGAGGAAGACCCGCCCACCACGGCTTCTCTCCCTCTCTGGCCGGAAGCTGGCCAGTGCACACAGCACTAGGGAGACAGCTCCAGATCCCCAGGCGTCTGTCCACCTGCATGCAGCCAGGTGGGGTTTCTGTGCAGCAGATGGAACCCAAAGCCTCCTGTGTGCCAGGCCAGGCCCCCTTGGGCCAGTTTAAAGTATAAAAAGTAAGAAACATGAAGCAGAATATGGCATAAGGGGGCTGGGGATTTGGCTCAGTGCTGCCACCACCTGCCAAGCAAGCACAAGGTTCTGAGTTCAATCCCTTGTACCAAACAAAACAAAAAAACAAAAGAATATGGCATAAGGACTCAAATCACCAGAAAAGTATTTCGGTGACAAGTGCTGACATTTCTTTTAAGAGTGGGACCCAGTTCTACCAGTTAGCTAAACGGAAGCTGGCTCGATAGAGAGCAAGACCATGGGGCTGGAGCCAGCCAGCACCACTAAAAGGAGGCCTCCATCACAGCCACTTACACTTCTGGGTAAGTCACTAAAACACGCTTAATTATTAAATAAGTAGCACCCATCTGAAGGAATGTTATGGGGCACAAAAAAACCATTCATTCATTTGTGCCTTAACAGGACTGCCTAATCACAGCTCAAATGGAAAGATGGCTGTAGCCAGGCAGGGGGGGGCGCACGCCTGTAACCCTAGCACTCAGGAAGCTGAGGCAGGAGGATCACAAGTTTGAGTCCTGCCTGGGCAACTTAGCAAGAACCTGTCTCTAACAAAGGGCTGGGGATTTAGCTCAGTGGTTCTGCTACCTGCCTTGCAAGCACAAGGACCCGAGTCCAATACCCAGTACCAAAAAACAAAAACAAAAAAACAAAAAACCTGTCTCTAAATAAAAATAAAAAAGGGCTGGGGTGTAGCTCAGTGGTAAATCACCCCTTGGTTCCATCCCCAGTACTGAAAAAAAAAAAAGTGGCTGCTGACATCTACAATTGATGTGGCTTTGAGTGTGATTCCTCAGAACTCTGTAACGCAGCTCTACGACCACAGCGCCGGCGGAAAACATCCACAGTGCTGTCAGCTCACAGCCTGTTGTTTAGCAAGGTTCCCACAAAGCACCACCTCGTCCAGATGCCACAGATCTACTTGTGGCCACAAACCCATCCTTAACTTCACGAGTGCAGAGCTGCCCCCGCTTCGCCTGCAGTATCTTCCTCTTGCACTGAGAACACTCTCTCTCCCCTCTGAGACAACCCGGGCCCCACGGGAGGAACATCGCACAAGACCAAAATGCACGTACGAAGCTTCCGATCCATTTCTTCACATCTTCGGACTTCATTCACAAACTTCCGCTGGAAAACATTCACGTCTGGATTTAGCTGAAAAATCAGAACACAGTACAAACCTTCAAATTCTGCATCTACTTCCTATTTCCCAAGCAACACATCCCGCAAGGTGGAAGCCTTCCTGTGTGTCAGCGATCAAAACCGTCCACCGGTCCCCAGAAACAGCTCTGCAACCCCCCAAACCAGGCCTGCTGTTGGGGTGTGGCACCTGGGGGCGGCAAACCTGCACCTCCTAGAGCCTGGCACAGCCGCGGTGGCTCCGTCTGCCAAGCCCAGGCGACAGAAGGCGGACACCCCTCGCATCTGCTGCTGCTCACTCGCACACCACACACAACTTTCAGAGCAAGGGGACAGGCAATCTGGGTACACAAACAAATCAAACGAGCTTCTGCTCACGAGGAAGCTTTCACTCTGATAGCAAGAAAGAGGGGAACATAACCGGTGGACAGCAGGTGACACACTGGACAGTCAGGCGAGGGAAGGACGGCTAGGAATGACAGGAGCGACTAGAGTGTCCTAGCTTCAAGGGCAGACTCAGCCTGTGAGCTCACGCCCACAGGATGTGCGCACGTGTCACACACACACACACACTGTACTGTGCTGCACAGTTTATCACACGCTGGCCCCTTGGTCACGTGTGGCTGAAGTGCACACGTGTATACACACGTGATATTCATAACTACCCGTGCCGCCTACACCAATGACCTGCATTACAAAATAAATAAATAAATAAATAAATTACAAAATAAATAAATAAATAACAGCGCGCGCGCACACACACACACACACACATATGCACGCAGGCATTCCTGTGTTCGATGGTTCTCTCTTCGAAAACTCAATATATTAATATTAGGCAGATGGAGTCTAAGGTAAAAAAAGCAAGATTACTCGGCAGGCTGAGGCAGGAGGATCGCTGGGAGTTCGAGACCAGCCTGGGCTACATAGTGAGTTCCAGATCAGTCTCAACTACATAGTGAGACCCTGTGTCAAAAAAATGAAACAAACAAACAAACTAAAAGCAAGATTAGTGATTAAGAGAACCACTAACAACAAGCCACACCTCAGTCTTCAGCTCCACGGAAAGACAGATGCAAAGCAGGCACCACAATCCATGATAAATGGTGCTAAAAAGAAGTGAAATCATGTTGTCAAACAGCTAATGCGAAACCTGTTTTGCTACACTGTGGTAATACTTGCTAGTCATTAAAATCAGCTTCCCACCAAAAAAAAAAAAAAAATCGGCTTCCTAAGAACTCTGAAAAAACAATTTTCTTTTTAAAGTAAGTAAAACCAGCTGGGGATTTAGCTCAGTGGCACCATGCCTGCCTCACGTGCAAGGTTCTGCGTTCAATCCTCCGTACTGCAAAAAAAAAGTAAACTCAATCCGTAACACCAAAGAAAAAAGTACACAGAAGATTCAGAAACCGCTGGCAGTGTGGTGCAGAGTTGAACCTGCATCTGCCCCCATGTGAGCGAGCGCCCAACGTGGTGTCTCCTTGCAGCAACGGAAAGGCTGCTGCGAAGACAGCCGCACCCCAGGAGCCCTACTCACCGGCGGAGCAGCCTGCGCCAAGTACAGTGACGAATCACAAGGGGCACAACGCAGAGGCCCGGCAGGTGATGAGGCCCCGGAAGCGAAAGGAAGGCACAGCCGCCTCACACCTGCATAACAGCTGTGTCACAGCCCAGGCTGAGCGCAGTGCGGCGACGCTGGACTCCGCTGGTGGGGACACAGGTGGGGGTGCCTGCTTGCCCACATGCCCCAGGCCCTGCTTCCCTCCCTGGAGCGGCCGGGACAGAAACCCAGGCACGAACCCTAGGGGCTGAGCGACCGTATGATGCAGCCAGCTCCTTTCCAGGCATAAAACAGCCGGGGGAGCAGAGATCAGCGTCAAAAGCAAATTGCCTCCGTGTCGGCTGCAGCACCACCAGAGCCAGACAAGGCGAAGGGACAGCAGGGCGGCCTGGGGGGGACGAGGCACGAGTGCCACCTGTCCTTGGTGGACCGAGGGGTTTCGAGGCTCATGAAGGGAGTTGGGAACCCAGAGGTGGAAAAGCTGGCAGGCGGAGACGGGCAGTGGCCCAGGTGGGGGTCACAGGAGACAGGTGTCTGGTGACAGCCTCGGGAGGGGCTGCGGATGGACAGCGCAGCTGGGAGCCTGGCAGGCCGGCAGAGACTGAGGGCGGAGCGGCACAGTCTGCCCAGGCGAAGGTGGAAAGGTCCTGGGAATCAGGGTAAAGGCAGGGAGGGGGGCGTGAGGCGGAGTGGGACAGAGTGTGGGGGGGAAGAGGATTTGGAGCTGAGAACGAAGCCCGGCCCCGGCAGGGGCACAGAGGAGGAAGATGTCGGAACTTCGTCCCAAGCTTGTTGACAGAGAGT